TGTTTGTAACAGGAACAGGGCTTGTTCATTGAGGGGATTTGAATCTGATGTAAGTCACTCACAGCACTGTTGGACATCCATCAAGCAGACATACCATAAATTACATGTGTACATGTTGTTTGTAACAGGAACAGGGCTTGTTCATTGAGGGGATTTGAATCTGATGTAAGTCACTCACAGCACTGTTGGACATCCATGAAGCAGACATACCATAAATTACATGTGTACATGCTGTTTGTAACAGGAACAGGGCTTGTTCATTGAGGGGATTTGAATCTGATGTAAGTCACTCACAGCACTGTTGGACATCCATGAAGCAGACATGCCATAAATTACATGTGTACATGTTGTTTGTAACAGGAACAGGGCTTGTTCATTGAGGGGATTTGAATCTGATGTAAGTCACTCACAGCACTGTTGGACATCCATCAAGCAGACGTATCATAAACAGCACTGTTGTTTGTAACAGGCACTGGACTTGTTCCTTGAGGGGATTTGAATCTGATGTAAGTCTGGGCTGCACCTACTTTCAGTCATCCAGGCTTCAGTATGACTTGTTGACTATACTGAAGATAAATATTCCTCTTGTGTCAAGTAGGAATCACTATAATGTGTCTACATAAGACAGAATTGTACAACCAGAAACTTGTGTCAGTGTTTGTCAATGACTCAGTCCACCCATGTAATGATACATGAACTTCCCTCTCTATAAATGGACCTGAATGTTACCTGATAATATATGCCTCATATTTGTCTAATAAAATAATGAAATAAAAACTGTTTTTCTCTTTTCTAGACAGGAATTTTCCATGATCTGTCATTCTGAAATGTTTCAGAATTTGATCAAACTTGTCTTTTGGGTTTCTGTAGGCATTTTCAAGTTGGATGTAGTCAATGCAAGGAATATAATGGATTACACCTTTGTTATACAGCATGTTATGTAGCATTTTGGGGGTACTTCTGACCTGGGACAATGGGGTAGCCTAATGGTTAAAGCATCCACTCGTCATGCTGAAGATCCGGGTTTGATTCCCCACATGGATACAATGTGTGAAGCCCATTTCTGGTGTCCCCGACTGTGATGTTGCTGGAATATTGCTGAAAGCGGTGTAAAAGCCAACTCACTCACTCACTCACCCATGCCCCTGACAGCAGTGCGGTTGCCTAAAGTACTGTTGGAAATAGAAAAAAACTGTTTTTATGCTGTTACTCTGTATCCCTGAAACTTCCACAATTTCAAATAGCATATGTTGAAATAACCCACATCGGCCTAACTGGGCGTTCAGTGGGATGTGTAACAGGATATCCAGAAAAGCATGTTTACTCGTAAAACTTAGAAAAAAATACGAATAGCTGCTGTAAATAATAGATCAGACTATAGATGGCAATTAGGTCGCTCAGCCAGGTATGACGACGAACCGTCGACTCACATGGCATGAAATGCACCTGCTGCCCACAGGCACAAGGGGTCATCTCAAAGATATTTTATGCTTTTGATGTGTATTGACTTTGTCTCAATTGATTATATTATCTTAGCTGATATCTCAGTACCCCAGCCCGACCCCAACCACCATCTGCGACACCCGTCCTGGTTTTGCTTTTGAGACGACCCCTTCTACCTGTTTCTTTTTGTAGTAATAGTGAGACCCCATTGTAGCTACATCCTATAATAGTTTCAGTATTAAAGTTATTATTTTTTACGTCTGCTATCGTTTATAATGAAGTCTAATTTCAAAATGGACATTCAAAAAGTGTCATTTGTTATACAATATCATCGCACACTAATTTGCATAAAGTCATGGTCTGCTCCAAATAAGTCGCTTCGGACTTCGAAAAAAAAACCACATTGCTCATTTCTGCACTAATATCTCCTCAGTAAAATCCTTCTTTTACATTTCCTATCTCCCTCCCACTGCGACTGTAGTTAGGCCGAACTCAGTTTAACAGATATTTCACACTTTCACATATTAACTACCTAAATTGTAGATATAAATGTGAAAAATCAGTTTTCTTCTATTTCCGACAGTACTTTATTGGTGTACCCATACCATAAGTCTGTGGTTTCTTTAGTCCATAATCATTTACATATGTGAACACAGAACATTGATAAATGTAGCATTAATAGAAGAAGTAACAGTACATTTCTACAGCGTATATCTTCATACACAATACATGCTCAAAGCACGCAAAATTGTTCAGTACGAGAGTTATCGGCATCTGGAAGTTGAAGGAGATATGTTTTCAAACAAGACTAAAAGATCTGAACAGAGTGTGAAGATTTAATGTCACGAGGAAGACAGTTCCAGTTCCACTTGTGCTACTGCAAAAGAATGATGAGCGTAACTGAAACTGTTAGCTTTAGGGACAGAGGAGCTGACGAGATTGAGCTCTTAGGTAGCAAGCAGGGCCCCGTTTCACAAAGCTCTCGTAGCGCTACGACTATCGTAAGTCAGTGTTACAGAATAGGAGGTACAAATGCTACGAGAATGGTTACGAGATCTTAGGCTTACGAGAGTTTGGTGAAACGGGGCCCAGGAGTGGAGACATCGATGAAGTCCCTGTAGTTAACAGGCATACACTGAAAGGTGAAACTGAGAATTTTGAACAAACAGGATATTGTGACAGCCAGATCATTGAAGAAGTTTTTGTGTTCTGCATCATAAACTGTGGTCTCCAGCTTAGTCATCATTTATCAAGGTATTTACACCCATCTTTTTGGGATGGAGGGGGTATGGAACCCAGTAATCTGAAGAACGGCAATCCTCACTCCCTCACTCAGTGAGTATCCCATGGCTACACCGCCATATAGCTGGAATATTGCTGAGTGTGGCGTAAAACTAAACTCACTCACTCACTATGCCAGTAAATAGTGGGTTCAATTCCTTGTGTGCCTCGAGGGCTGTTGGGTAGCCTAGTGGTTAAAGCATTAGCTCGACATGCTGATGATCCAGGTTGGATTCCCCACATGGGCACAATGTATGAAGCCAATTTCTGGTGTCCCCTGATATTGCTGGAATATTGCTAAAACTGAAGTAACTCACTGTTTGCCTCAATTATATTTCTATGTCTGTGAACACCATACTCATTCTTACGGGTTTCACCAAAGTGGTAAATGTCCGACTTGCATCACTCTTGTTTTCCTCCAACATGAGATGTATGCTCTGTGATGTAACTGGAATATTGTCCACAGCAAATTTTAGATTCAACTCACTCACTCACTAGCACTGTTTCAAAGAACGTTTAAGTTTAGACAATATTGTATCTGTTTTTGTTGTGTGATGTGCAGCCATGGTTTCAACTTAATCACATTCATCTAATCTGCAAATTTGGTAAAAATGTTTAATAATTCCATTGGCTTGATACCCATGGAAATCTGGGTTAGAATTGATGTTCAGCAACCCATGCTTGTCGTATGAGGCGACTAACGGGATCGAATCCCAATTGCGTAGATTGAAGCGCATGCTGTTGATCACTGGATTGTAGTTCCAGACTCAATATTTACAGACCGTTGCCATATAGCTGGAATATTGCTGTGTGTGGCGTGTAACAACAAACAGATTTTTAAAATCCATTAGCTTTAATAAACAACACAGTTCTTGTGTTCCTGGCTTGACATATAGTGTTTCTCAGAATCATTTCTACATCTCTTAAAACTAGATTTTCGTTCCTTGCAGGAAATGAAGACACTGAGTGTTTGGGGCAAATGTCTCAGCAGTTCCCCCGAAAAAGAAGGAGTAGATCCAATTCTGGTGTCGGTCATCAACCAATGCATGCATCCCAAAGGGTCTTATACGCTGGCGATGACTCTGTGGGTCCCCGAATAGCGAAACCGTTTCATTGTGATATGTGTGATAAAACCTTTTCTGATGCGTACGGTGTTCGAAGGCACAAGAAGGCTGAACATGAAAACATTACTCATTCATGTGTTTGTGGACGAATCTATAAGTACAGGAGTGGTTTTACACAGCATCTGAAATCATGTAGTGTCCACAGATTCGGAATTGAAAAGGAGTAGACTTGTCTGAAGCTTCTTGCTCTGATGTCGTTGATCAGCTTCATAACATGGGACAAGCTCATCTGGGGGTTTTGTTCATTGGTAACAATGAGAGATGTGGATATGAAAAGCAGACGACTTGTTTGAAGCTTCTTGTTCTCATGTTGTTGATCAGCATTATAACAATGGACAAGCTGTACATCAGTTTTTTAGTTCTTTGGTAACAAATATATATGTTCGATGCTGGATGTTAAGTTTGAGGGCTTTGTGGAGAACTCTGTCTTGTGTTTGGGTCACTTTCCCTATCTCATGATGGGAACCATGGCAGTCATTTGTTGTCTCGAGAACAAGATGGATTGGATGATCACTGTGAACATCTGTCTATGGACAAACGGGATAACTGTGTGTGTTCTTTTATGATCATCCCTTTGTTTCATAATCTTGTGGTGTTGTGGACAATTGCACTTAATATATCAAACATGGCAATCGCTTGTTGTTGGAAGGAACAAGATGGATTGGAAGATCACTGTGAAAATGGAAGATCATTATGAATCATGGCAGTCATTTAAGAACAAGATGGATTGGAAGATCATTGTGAAAATGGAAGATCATTACGAATCATGGCAGTCATTTGCTGTTTGAAAGAACAAGATGGATTGGATGATCACTGTGAACATTTGACCTTGAGCAGAAGACAAGACAATTGTGTGTGTGTCTCTCTTCAAGGTTTCTTTCCTTTATCATCTGTGTGGTCTTATTGTGGGCAAGTAAACTTCCTTCATTAACTAGTGATATAGCTGCATAACTTTGATGATTTCATTCTCACTTTCAGGCAGCAATGTTTTGTGTCATAGACCTCCTCCCTGAAGGCTTCATATTTTGAAAACTGTCCTTATTCAGTATTTTCTTGTGTCTGGATGAACCACGTTTTCCTGTGACAAGTCGTCTTGGTGTGCTTGAACAATATCTACACAACAGACTGAAAACCAATTTTTACTTCTTTCAGGGACAAAAGGCCAGGCACTATCAGGAAATAGCCATGCTTCTTCACAGACCCCAAAGGAACCTTTGGCCACTGGAGGAATTTCGTACCCATCATTCCCAAACTCTGAACACTTTTCTCAGTTAGTTGTCTATGAACAGGACACGAAAGGGGTGAAGTTTTACAATTGTGGAATTTGTGGGCGAGCCTTTTTTGATGCTCGTAGTGTCCGCAGGCACAAGAAGGCCGAACATGAAAACGTCACTCACTCTTGTGTTTGTGGACGGGTTTATAAATACAGAAGTGGTTTTACACAGCATCTGAAGACGTGCTCGATTCATAAGCTTGCGGAAACAAGTTAACAGTAAACTTGATGGGGTGATGGCTGTGTATGAAATACCAAGTTGTTTTGTCTTCAGTGGTTTGCAAGGAACTCTGGATATTGTGTACACAGTGTAGCTCTACATGATGTGTTCTTGCTGGAAAAGGCTTCAAGTCTCAACTGTTTCAGGGACACAAGCTATAAACATCACACATTAAGCTGTGAAATACTATAAAGGAGTTAGAGATTGTTCATCTGTGCATGAGGAGTTTGTGCTCTGTGGGAGACAAGGTTCCAGGCCAAATGACTAACATGCTGCTAACATTGACCAGAACATCACTCTTGGGCAAATGCTGTGGTTTCATTGGCTGCCTTTGATGAGCAGACGTCCCGGTATCTGGTGTATGGTAAAGAATATTCAGTCATATCTGCCAGTGCTAGTTCATTTAGGGCTCTGAAAACTAAAACATTCAGAACATGTTTGAATTTGCAGATACTGGAAAATCTAGGTGGAGTTGATGTTTAGCGATGTCCTATGGAGGCTGGTGTGATGTATTAACTGCTTCCGTTGTGAGGATTACGTATCTTTACAAATTGACCACCAGTAATGATGATATTTTTAAATCTTGTTTTGAAGACTTCTACATAGTGCCTCAATTATATAATTGGTTGATGTTGCCAAAGTTTTGTATTATCATCTCTCAACAATACCTGTGGCTGTAGTCTCGTAGCAAGACAGTGTAACACTTAAGCAACAGTTTTTATCTAATAAAATTCATTTTTGAATCGTCATGTTAGTTCAGGCCTGGGTATTATGATTTCAGTGGCCTGTTGCCCACAAGTGTCTAACACACAGTAGCTCTAAATCTTGTTTCCTTTCAGACACTGTTGCCAGCTCAATGCTTGCATTCCACACCCAGAATCCAAAGACTTCGCAAGGATATTCTCAGCACTCAGATGTACCCGGACACATGTTCCAAGTACCCTACCAGTCATCACCCCAAGGAGCTAATTTTGATCCGTCACAGAAGAAAATGTCATTTTGTGACGTGTGTGGCAAGAGTTTTGTTGACTTCTATTCCGTGCGGAGACACAAGAAGGCCAGCCATGACAATGTCACCCACTCGTGTGTGTGTGGCAGGTCCTACAGATATTCCAGTGATTTGATGAAACACATGAAGAGATGCCCAGTTTATCAGGCCACTGTGTGATACGAGAAGGACAAGTACAATACTGGTTGTCTCTCAGATCTCTTCCAACTGAAGTGGGGAGGTGGGATAGCCTAGTGGTTAAAGCGTTTGCTCATCGTGCTGAAGACCCAGGTTTGATTCCCCACATGGGTACAATGTGTGAAGCCCATTTCTGGTGTCCCCCGCCATGATATTGCTGGAATATTGTTAAAAGCAGTGTAAAACATTACTTTCTCACTCCAACTGAAGTTTTATCCTAGTGACAAATATTGACATAGTCTGAATGTGCTGGCCATGTGGTCGTTTGTGAACAAAATACATAGTTTGTTTCTTGATAACTTGATGTCTTTTAAAGGATGAATTTCTTACATTGGTTTGAATCTGTTTCTGATTTTACTTGTCAAGAACAAACACGTGTGTAGTGAGGATGGTTCAGATGTTCTCTGATAATCTGACAACGGATTCTGAATTGAGGGAACGCACCACGGTCAAATTTTAATTTGATGGACCCTCGAGACTACCTGCTGGTGCTTAGATCCAGTATACACACAATAATTGTCTGGTTGTCTTTGTTTAGTCTTTAAGAACAGATGTTAGTGAAGAGGATTTTCACTCTGGTGTCACACACAAGAACCACGTAGTTCTGATAGTCTGTGATTGTTCTCGGAGATATACAGAACTTGCTCACTTTTTAACCATATAAGCACCATCAGTCCATGTCTTAAGGCACAGTTTGACATTGGATTATTGCATTGGTCTGCAACATCCTTAGGAGACTGTTTTAGCTCCTCAACATTGTCAACTGTTAGTGTCAGTCTTTTACAGGATTGATTTAAATTGCTCAGACGTTACTGTCCTGTCTCTGTGTTTACCATATTTGTCGACTTATTCAAGCTGACTAAGTTTCTGTTAAGGAATGGACATGTGTGATCTGTGACAATATCTCTTCTGTGATGTTTATGTGAACAAAGATGTGGTTGGTTGTACAGAAATACTGACGATAATTCACGAAGATTAGACATACCATATCTTGATTTACAGAAATAAAACATACTTGCACCCAGTGGAGTCTTAAGTGATACCCTTGTTGTGCCATACAAAAACAGGTTGCACATGCTGGTGAATATAAAATATATATACCGGTAATGGTTGAGTTTTGGTGTTGATGATATAGGACATCATTATAACATTCAATCACTGTCTGTGTTGTCATCAGAGTCACTGCTCAAACCAGGTCCTCATCATTCTGTTTTCCAACTGAAGTCTATGTTCTTTGAACAGCAAAATATTAACATGCACTGGAGGCAACTTTCCTTCTGGGGTTCTGGCCCTGTTGTCTTTCTGCCCCCTATGAAAAAATATACATTGCCGTCCGGTAATTCCGTGCACCTAAGCACATCGATCGCAACACGGCAACTAACGTCTCTTATTTTTTGTGGTTTTCTTGACTAAACATGTTGGTATGCATCATATTTACCTTGAAATATATGTTTTATTGACGACTATAAGATTCTAACGTTGCATTATGCCATACAGTTGACCTTACCGGCGTTCTGACGAGATCGCTTGCTGTCCGGTAATTCTGTGCAGCAACTGATGCGCACAATATCCAGCTGGAGATCCGAAGTATGGAAGCGTATTAGGGCCAGATTATTTTCAAAAATCACTTCATCAATGTAAGGAAGAGTGTTTCATATTTAATCCAATTATGAATAATGAAGAAAAAGGTTTCAAAGTCTGAAGAAAACAAATTTTCATAAAACTGTCAATTACTGTTATTTACTTACTTTTAGTGATTAACCAGTCCCTTGTAGAAATATCCCGATTTCAAGGGTAAATGTGGTAGCAGACGATGTTTACCTCGATATGGAAGTACGCTATTGCAGCTGCGCAGAATTACCCGGATGCGTGGAATTACCGGACTCGCTTGTATAACATGCCAAGATGTCTGCCACATGGCGTCTGCTTGCACTGAGAAACAGTGTGGACAGTACAAAGTCACCTGTGACATTTCCCCAGCAGCTCTTGACTTCTTGTCTCTTGAACAAAATTCCACGTTGCCAACTGCCCCAGAGGTCCATTCCCCCAGGTCAAACTGTCCCTGGTCATGTCCCTGAAACTGACCTCAGCACCCCCTTTACCTACAATAGGATGTTTTAATGGAGTTAGGACTGCACAGACTAAAATGTTGTTACTATTTTGTAATGGTGTCTTCTGTTGAGCAAAATAACAAATATTTAGAAACGTATTTCACTCTCTGCTCCTAATATTCATGACACATTGGCTTACTTTGTTCGACCCATGAAGATCCGGGCTGGAATTGATCATCAGCAACCCATGCTTGTCATAAGAGGCGATTAACAGGATCGGGTAGTTGACACATGTTATCTGATCCCAATTACATAGCCCGATGCTCATGCTGTTGATCACTGGATTGTCAAGTCTATACAGACCGCTGCCATATAGCAGTAATATTGCTGAGTGCGGTGTTAAACAAACAAGGGCTACTTTGTTCCAAGCGTGTAGAGGTTGTTGTGGCCCAGTTGTCCAGGCGCAGCTACTTGCTTTCCAGAGATGCGTCGGCACTGGGGTAGCCTAGTGGTTAAAGCGTTCTCTCATCACGCCGAAGACCCGGGTTCGATTCCCCACATGGGTACAATGTGTGAAGCCCATTTCTGGTGTCCCCGCCGTGATATAGCTGGAATATTGTTAAAAGCGGTGTAAAACTGAACTCACTCACTCACTCCAGAGTTGTGTCCCTGTGATTGTGGATTTGAACCCTGTTCACCCAGATTATGTTTCTAGGATTATCAGCTACATACTTTTACCTAAGGAGTAAACATCAGAGAACTATATCACGTCAGGCTTCTCTCCCACATTAAACTGACACACCATGATATTACAGAATTCGTTCAAAATGGTGTTAAATGATTTAACTGGAACATCGTACAACTTGGCTCAACATTCACACAGTTACTCAATCAATACCCATAGTGTTGGCGTTTTGCTTCACCTCTGTACCATAAGTTGTCATTTTCTAATACATAGGCATTTACTAACACAGTAGGCAGTGTTACCTACTAGGGATGTCACGATACATAAGTTTCATGAATCGATACGTATCATGATACCCATGTCACGATTCGATACGTATCATGAGACCTATTTTCGCGGCATTATTGCGTAAATTTAGTTACATTTAGAACATTACTATTTCATATTTTATAATTTTCCATGAAAAGATCAACATTTTTGATTGTCAGAGATTAAAAAGTTCTAATTTCCCATCTTTGTGCATGAAAAATAATCATTTATAACTCTCATAACATAAAGAAACATGATACAATTGCAAAATGTAAATGATACATAAACATATTTAAACCGATACTTTCAAAACTAAATATCGATACAGTAATGTACCGATAATTGTATCGTCTTTGAAAAAGTATGGATGTATTGATGTATCATGGCATCCCTATCACCTACACATATGCTACTCAGAAGAACAAGGTGTTACTTTATATCACAGATCACATTCACAATGATGCAACATTCTGTGTGTTGTTTTACTTGACTGTGTGCCTCATCATGTAATCTTGGACAAATAAAGATACAGTGAAACTGCAATCATCCGGATCCTGTTATTCTTGAAACCGGCTGACCGATGATGAGCGTCAGATATTCCACAGTGGACAGGATGCCATATCCTTGATTTGTCTATCAGGATAATAGTTAATGTGAATGATGTTGGTTTTTCTGTCTTGGGGATTGACAGAGTTTTGACTTCTGAAAAAGGATGACTTCTAAAAAGGATGAATCTTTAGACATTGTATTTTGTATTAAGCTCTTGTGCAGTCTGGTTAGCTTTAGTGTTGGGAATTGGTTAAAATCTCATAATTGATGATTGCTTCATTACAACCGATCAGTGATCGAAAATAATTGGTGAGCGTCATTCATGAAATTTTCCTGGTTATTTTTGTTAATGCACAAAAACATAAAGAAAAAACATGTAGTTCTTTGGTTTTTTGGGGGGCAAATTTCACATCTTGAAAGGATGACTAGTGTGTTAGGAACATAAATTTCTTTAAGATAAATTCATTCATGACTTGGAACAAGCTTGTAGTGCTCATGAAATGTAACTGAAAAAAACCTTGTTAAAACAATATTGTTAATGCAAAAAGTGTTCCAGAATTGTTTGTGTTCGAATATGACAAAACATGATCGATTGATTGGTCGTTTAGTCACTGTGACCAATCTTCGATTATTTCAATTAATCGGACCACCACTAGTTAGCTTACAGACCAGGACGTAGATTTTCGAAGCTCTCTTAGCACTAAGATAGTCGTAAGTTAATATTAATGTATGGCACTTTCGACTATCTTAGCGTTAAGAGAGCGTCGAAAATCAAGGCCCTGATTCATTAACCTGGCGTACTACACTACAGCTGGATCCTGCAGGTGTGCCTGAAATTTGTACTTGTTGCTTGGAACTCCACACATGCCCAGATGATGGTTCGGGGTCTGTCGGCACTGTAGAGAAGCTCCTAAGGTTCTCCTACATCAAAGACCTGCATCATAACAGCCTTTCTTCCCATATAGGCAGAAACGCTGAGTCAGTGAATAAGGTTTTATGCCGCTTTTAGCAATATTCCAGCAATATCCCGACAGGGACACCAGAAATGGGCTTCACACATTGTACCCATGTGGGGAATCAAACACGGGTCTTCAGTGTGATGAGCGAACGCTTTAACTACGAAGCTACCCACTGTTCTAATATGCTGATGTTACAGATACACTGTTCAAAGTGCGGTTAAACCAAGCTCGCTGTTGTAGTGAGTGAGTGAGTGGGTATGGCTTTACGCCACTTTTAGCAATATTTCAACAATATCAAGGCAGGGGACACCAGAAATGGGCTTCACACATTTTGCCCCACTGTTGTAGAGTCGTCCTGACCATGTAACCTTGGACAAGAAGATGATGATGATGATGATAGTGATGATTTGGAGATTTAACGTGCACATAATGTGTATTTCGCACACGGTTCCTTGGTCAAGTAAAGTGCCGATCTTTAGACATTTACATTAACAGAGTTCTGTTCCTTTCAGGCCGAGTCTGGTCCCATCCTCCGAGACACACAAATGATAGGCCTTTTCCCATCATTCCAAGAACAGGACTCGGTTTCCATGACTACATTGAGCATGTGCCACAACCAGGCCTGACCATGTTCCCGGTAGGCCAGTCAGGACCCAGCTTTGGTAGACATAAGACTCTGAAGGAGTTCTTCTGTGATATTTGCGGCAAGGGATTTGCTGATTTCCGAGGTGTAAAACGTCACAAGCTGGCAAACCATGACAAAATCAAGCACCCCTGTGTGTGTGGCAAAGTGTACACGTACAAGGACGACTTGTTGAAACATCAGAAGACCTGCATTGCTATGCAAGAACGATATTAGTTGAAGGTGATTATGAAAATATGGTAAGCCATATGGGCAATCACGTTGTTTTGTGTCTGTCCGAAGAGGAACCAGAAAGTGAGAGCTTTCAAACGACCTGGCTAGCTATTCTTGAAATGTTCGTAGCCCTACGAACTTCTTGTGCCCATTCTTAACACATAGGCTACGATCGAAGTTAAGAATTCTTAGGGCTACGAACGTTTCGAGAATAGGGGCCCTGTGTTGTATTTCTGGGAAGTTCTTGAAAGTTATCTCGATCATGCTTACTGCATGAATTTTTCTATTTTATCTGTGTAATCAGGCAGTTGACCAGTTAGCCTAAGTGGATGTGGAAATTGAAAGTCTCTTCACTTTTACACAAAACCTACTTACATTAAACAAAATATTCTTGTAGGGGCTGAAGATTACTTGTTTGGAATTTAGATGGGGATATTTATGGACAGGCCTTGATCATCAGTGGCAGATAATGTCTATCTCATCTATGGATGAAAAACCAAATGCTTCCCCATCATTTCAGTGGTTTCAGGATTTGTAATGATGCATGACAGTGCCGGTGACAAAGATGTGTTCAACAAGAGTTCTGTCTTGATGACATGTCACCATTGTTCTCTC